GAGAGAGAGAGAGAGAGAGAGAGAGAGAGAGGTGATGAAACTCTTGGAGCTTGGTTTGAGTAGTAGTATATGAAGATAAGTAGATGGGTTGTCTTGCCAATTTATTTAAAGGGTTCTCGTTAGCGAGGTGAGTGGTTTATGTAATGTGTTCTAAAAGTTTTTATTTTGTGATAAAATATGAAAACTATGAATTATCGTGGATTTATTCTATTTACAAATATCTCTCCATTTCAAGTCAAGCATGTCTAATTTGGTGCAATCTTTCACACTATATATATATATTGATTGGAATATGAAGTATGTATTATTCGTGGAACATGAGAACTTCAATGTTGGAGTATCCGAGGGATAGATGTACCACACGGGGACATAGGGCTGTGAGGCCAATAGGAGTCACGTGGTCGGTTACATGCTATGATGGATAACCGAGATATGAAGGGATGATGTGATATGATCTGGATTGGTGTATCTTTTCATGATATTTTCTAGTGTGTGTAAAACGGCTTTGCATGACTGGCATATTACATAATCTACTCACTGAGCGGTGGTTGCTCATCCCTCACCCTGTTAATTTTTCAGATGAATTAGTGGGCAAGACAAGGACTAAATCGGTTGAAGCTAAATTAGATGAGAGTGATAGAGCTTTATTTATTTCATGTAAAGTTGTAAGATTTTAAAACTATTTTTATAAGAGAAGTTTATTTTAAACCCATGTTTCGACTTCTTTTTATTTTACTTTTTATTTTCTCATGCACCGGGCGCTGGGTTTCCGCCTACCCCCGGGTTCGGGGCGTGACATGTATCCACAAGCTATGTTCACTTTGATGTTTCATTTGCTTGTAGTCCCCTGTCATTGGACTCCTGCATGCATGTTTGTATTTGGTGCTGTTCTTGAACCCTAGTTTTATTCAAGTACCAGTTTGTCCAAAAAAACAAAACAAAAAAAATTAGGCACAAAGACCATAAATCATAAAAGCCAGTACAAGAACAAATTCAAATGCGGAAACGCAGCAACCACACAAGGTTATCCGCTTCATTTTATTGTTACATCATCATCCGCTTATTTCTAGGACCATATCCATTTACTCATTGCTACACATTACAAATACAATTTGCATTTCTGATGTCAAGACATGGGCTATTTACATACACACACACACACACAGTGGTATGCCCCTCACATTGCATGCATTGTTTGTCCTTTCTGCCACGTTGAATTCCGTTCACCATGCCAAGCTTGCTGCCCTTCTCATTGTCCTCAACTTTTCTGCCAATTTTTGTGCTCTTGTAGATTGTTTCTTTCCCAATAGCTGCCATGCCATACGTAAATGATACAAGGTAAATGATATGTTGATTAAATCATAAGGATGCAGAACATTTTATATTTTTATTAGGGAAAAACTCTGATTTTGGTCCCGGTATTTCGGTCGATCGACGAAGTTCCACTTTGATACTTGTTGTTTCAATTTTTGCGATTTTAGACTTGTAGTATACTACTTGTTGCAATTCAAGAAGAGTAGCATCCTTGAATTAAGTTACCTTCCTTTGAATTGCAAGGATTGGTAAACTAACGTACCAAAATGAAACTGAATTAAGTTACCTTCCTTTGAATTGCAAGGATTGGTAAACTAACGTACCAAAATGAAACTTTGGCGAAACTACAGGGACCAAAATCATAAATAAGCCTCTTATATTAGTTACCTCTTGCTTCCTCTTCTGTTCAGATTCGGCCTGTTCCAAAAGGTGAAAACTGTTTCATTAGTGCACTTGGACAATTGTCTTTTAAAGCAAGAAATAAAATTTCTTGTGCAGTACCACATTTTGCTTCAGCTTTGTGTTCTCCTCTTTAAGTTGATTCAGCTCAGCTTCCAGTTCCACAGTATATGCCTATAAGCAGTAGAATAATTTGATTATAAACATTTCCCTTTTTAGGTTTTCTCTTAAGAATTAATATCTTTGCAAATAAAAACATAAGCTATAAACTGAAACTATCTAACCATATATGTTATTAATTACAATATTTTACCTGCTCAATCTTGTGTTCGTCCATTTATTTGATCACAACTAGACTACGCCCTTCTTTACTTTTTCTTTTCAAGTTTTTTTTTTAAATTTTTTTCTAATGATATGTTTTAGTTTAATTGAACTTTTAATGTATTTTTAAATTAATTCAACTTTTTTATTAACTTCAAAAAGCTTTATAGGTTTTCAAAATAAAATGAAAAAAGATTATCATGTTCATTTAGCGGCAACTTTAACGGAACATACCAAATTGACTAACGGTCTTAAATTCGCCAAATTGAAAACACATGGACTAAATTGGCCAACGTTATAAAACACAGAGACCATTTTGACATTTAAGCCAAAGAAATAATATAAAAGTGAAAATTAAAAGAAATTAATGTATGGCAAGGGTAGAATAGGAAAAAGAAAGAACGAAAAAGAAAAATATTGATTAAAAAATATTAGAAAGGAAAAGAGAGTGTAAGTGGAGAAAATGAGAAAAAGAAAGAACGAAAAAGAAAAATATTGATTAAAAAATATTAGAAAGGAAAAGAGAGTGTAAGTGGAGAAAATGAGAGTGGAAAAATCAGCTCCCTTTTTGTTTCACACTTTTCTCGTACTTTCAAGTTGAAAAAAAAAGAAGAGAAAAATTGTGCATCGACAAGTTAACCGCATTGTGCCTATATGGTAACTTTCTATGATTTCTTTATAATATTACTTGCAAATTATTTGTAAAATTATTCAAAATTGGTAAAATCATAACAATAAATTTGATTGATAAATTACCTGTTTCCTGGCACGAGACCTTGCTGCTGACTCTCGATTCTTGATCATCCTGCGTTGCCTCCGCTCGACTACTACCTCCGGTGGACCATCTATTATCCTCTTCTTGTTCTTTGCTCCACCACCCCCACTGCTCGATTCCGGCAAGCTATGGCATTTCTCAATTGCACTAACACAAGATGGATTTCCCACAATCATTTTACTCTGTCTACCCAACATTGGGTATGTAGCACCAATTGCATATCCATTCCCTGACAAATTGCTTGAATCATTTGGGAGATTAAAAAATCCTGAACCAAAAAACTGTTCCCCAATTCCAAAACTTGCATCCAAACCTGTGCTGATCTCATTTCCCATATTAGTGTCACCACATTGCTGTTGAATTAGGGTACTTTCCATCCTCTTCAGAGAAGGTTTGGACTTGGGGGGAGATTCTTGAACAACCCCGGCTTTTATGAGGAAATCTTCTAGCGTAATTTCTCCGATTGTTTGCTGGCGCTGCGGGGGTACAGAATTGCTAATGTTGCTGTCAGGGTCATGGTGTTGTGGTCGACTTCTATCGATTTCCAACCAGACCTCGTCCACGGTTTTCTTGCAAAGCGGGATGGGGATGGAGAACGAGCCCTGCCGGGACAGAGTACTGGGGTTGATAGTTGTGTCTTTGTCACTGGCCTCTTGGTCACATTGGCTGGGTTCTTGTTGTGTTTGATTTTCTTCTTCAACACTCCAAATGTTGGCAAGGAACTCATCCATGTTCATGGACCCAAAATTCCTCCCACTCTTGCATTGAATTTCATCCAGAGTAAGGGAGAATATTGAATTCTGTTTAGTATTATTACCCATGGAATGATGTGAGTCGTCTTGGGATGATTCTTCTTGTGGTTCTAGTGGCTGTTGGGGTTCGAATTCGAATTCGAAATTGTCATTATCATAGCCGATGCTTCCAGATTCGTCAGAAGCTACCATTTTAGCATAAAATGGAGAATGTTGTTGCAAGAATAGATGCTCAATAATCAGCCCCTGCACTCCAAAGAACGGAGAAATCAGTTGAGTCTCTGCATGCAGAGGAGTTTTCAATCATAACTAATTTCCAACTTCACCAAGAAAAACAAATAAATAAATAAGAGGGAAAAAAACCAGATTTCATTTCATTTCATATAGGGATCAGAAGTTTGATTTGAGAAACAGAAAACTAGCCCATTTTCCGTTCTGTTCCAGCTAACATTACCTTCGGCAAGTTGCCTCTTCAGAAAAAAAAAATTAAAATTAAAAGAAGAAACACTACAACTCAATATGAACTCTGTTCTCGATGAACAGTTTTGTGCAGGCTGAAGACTTGTGTCAAAACTCAGATAAATGCAGAGACGTGTGCAAAAGCTAGGCTCTGCAGTTGCATGCATCACATCACATCACAAGAAGAAGACGAATTCATCTCACAAAAACAAAAATAAAAACAAAAACAAAAATATTGATCAACAACTAAGAGTAAAGAAGGATTGGGGTGTTCATCTCAGAAAATAAGATCAAATAATACCAGATTTCGCAGTGATCAAGCAACCAAGAAGTAACGAAAATAAAAACTAGAGAGATATAAATAAGTGAAAAATAATAATAATAAAAAAGAGAGAAATAAAAAAGGAAAAGAGAAAAGAAACATGCAAAATATAAAAATACCTGAGGTGAGGCTGATTATTTGCTTCAATGGAGGGGGGCAGAAGTGAGTGGAGCAGAGAGCATCTTATGAAGAGCAGGAGCAGTTTCTTGACATTGTAACTGCTGCCATTGTCAATTTTAAAGGTGGCTTTGTGTGGCCCCACATTGTTGTTCACTTTTTGGACACGTTTGGTGCCACATGCTTATTTTCTTATGGGAAAAAAAAAAACGCCAAAATGAGATGCTCAGCAGCATTGATCATGTCACTGAGGTGCTTAAGTTTTGCTTTATATGGCAGTCAACATAAAGCAAGGCGTAAAGCAGTTGGGGTCACAGGCGTCATCAAAAAATAATTGGGCAGAAACATCGTTGAAACAAAAAAATGAATAGATGTTGTTAAATTATGTTTGATAATAAGGAAGGGTAGTTTTGTAAAACATACAAAAAAAAAAAAAGAGTTTTTCTTTTTAAACCCCGCACTTCTTTTGTTCACTCCAGGACCAACAGGGCAACAGTACGGGGCGCAGAAGTTTTGGGAGCGAAAAAAAAATTATAATCCTCCATATATATGTATTGTATATGCCAAAACGATATATATATTATGTATTTTAAAGCCTATATCTATAAATATATTATATGAAAAGGAAAAGCATGTGCATCCCATTTTGTTTAAATTTTTTTCTTCTTGTCTGCTGGTGCAACCAAAAGCTTTGCTTCTTTTTTATTCCTATAGCTGAAGACGCGCATCTCTCACTTCTTTTTCTATTTATTCTTTATGCCCTATTTTTTTGAAAGAATTCTTTATGCCCTTTTGTTCCTTCCTTTTGCTGCTTCTTCTTGTCCACTTTTGCTTCTGTATTTTCTTTCATCTCAAATTCTCTTTGGTCTGCGTTTCATTTCCTCCTCCTTGTTGTAGTTTCCTGTGGTTTGTGGTGGCAAGGGGAAGAAAATCAATTGGAGTTGGAGTTCTTGTTCTTTGCTTCAAGTTGAAGAAAAAATGCTCAAAATTCAGGTTTTATTGTTCTTTTTTCTTTGTTAAATTATTGTCCTCCTTGTTGTAGTTTCCTGTGGTTTGTGGTGGCAAGGGGAAGAAAATCAATTGGAGTTGGAGTTCTTGTTCTTTGCTTCCAGTTGAAGAAAAAATGCACAAAATTCAGGTTTTATTGTTCTTTTTTCTTTGTTAAATTATTGATTTTATATGTAGTTGCATTATTGTTATTGTTTTGGTCTTATGTGTTGATTGTTGAGATTTTTATTTTGAAGAACAAATTGCTGAAAGTCAAGAGGATTTTTGCATCAATATTTTCTAGAAAAAAAAAAGCTTCACTGGAAAATGTAGTTGAAGATTTACCAAATAAATCTGAACAACGAATTCATTTTGAACAAAATGAAAATGACAAAAGTGTACATGAATGAAAACGAAAATGAAAGTGACCAAAGTGCAGGACATGATATTAAATTGAAGATACAGTGAATGAATTTGAATGCCCAAAATTTGGCATTTCGCGGAACAAATGAAACCGAAAATCAAGAAAAGTAAACCTGTCCTAGGCAGTGAAAATTACCAAAAAATTATAATTTTCATGATGAATTTGTCCATAAAGGGAAAGGGGTGCTCCAAAAAAAATTGAAAAAAGTGTCTATAAAGGGCACACTCTACACTTTGACCTTGGGCCTCAGATCACCCACCCAGGACCGGCCTTGGTGCAAAGGATACTTCATGTTTCAAACTTTATAAAAGTTTACAAAACCTAATAAGTCGGATGAAAAAGAAGAGTAATTTGGTAATAGGATGTAGAGAAGTTTGTGTTTTTCTAAAACTTAATATGAAGAGTGGTGGGGTGTGTGTATAGATGTACTATGGTTAAGTATTGAGTTGGATGAGCTTTTTTTTTTTGTCTTTTCACACAATAATAAAATTAAAGAGCTTAATGATTTAAGTATTGGAATGAAAAAAGAACAGTTTAGGATTTAAATAGAAAAACTCAAAAACAAAACAAAATACAACGCGGAAAGCGGGAGAGAAAGCATACGCATGTGAGAAAAGCACGACGACCCTTGAGTTATGTGATAAACCACTTGTCTTGTCCATGTGTTTGCTTGGACTTGAATTTGTTACCAATCTGATTACCACCATTCCATCTGGAGGTTAGTTTCTATTCCCTCACAAGACCAACGCTCGCACTTCAAATCCGACATATTTAACTATCGATTTATTTATTATAAATGATTTTGAAGTTGTGGATTTCCCTGATGCAGGGGATGTAAAGAGGAATTGGCGTTGGGATTCAATTAGTAAGGCCCCATTCGACAGAGAATTCTGGGGTTGTTTTCTGTTTTTATTTTCTAAAAACAACTTGGATTCGTGTTCCGTGGTCAAGTTGAGAAAACGCAAAAAAAAGATTTTCTAAAATCAAATTCAAAGTGTAGGGTAATAGGATGTAGAGAAGTTTGTGTTTTTCTAAAACTTAATATGAAGAGTGGTGGGGTGTGTGTATAGATGTACTATGGTTAAGTATTGAGTTGGATGAGCTTTTTTTTTTTGTCTTTTCACACAATAATAAAATTAAAGAGCTTAATGATTTAAGTATTGGAATGAAAAAAGAACAGTTTAGGATTTAAATAGAAAAACTCAAAAACAAAACAAAATACAACGCGGAAAGCGGGAGAGAAAGCATACGCATGTGAGAAAAGCACGACGACCCTTGAGTTATGTGATAAACCCTTGAGTTATCCGGATGTCCGGATTGTTTAGCATGCATAATAACTCAGATGAATAATAAGTGAGGGAAGGAAGAGAATGATTGAAAGATAGAATTGGAATAAATCAAAATAAAATTTAATTAAAGAGTATATGCATAAAATTCTTAACTCAAGAATGGCATGAATGAAAATATAATGAATCATCAAAATAATGCTTAAGAATGAAATTAGAATGTGAAGGACTATGTTAACTCAAAAAACTCTTTAACTTTATTTAACTTAGTGAAGCTTGAAAAACAATGTAAAAACTTACAGAAATCTTAGTTCCTAGTGAAAGTAATGCCACGCAGGACACTCACACTCTCACTCTTACAACAGTCGAGCAATGCCACGAAGGACACTCACGCTCCTAAGCTAATCTAGTGTTGTCTCAGATCTAGAATCCTGAGAGAACTTTGAAAACTGAAAGAAATTACAATGCTTACTAAATCAAGCTTGAAGATACAACTGACTTGGGACTTCAATTTAAAGGCTTGGCACATGAGAAAAGACAAAATAACTTTTGAAATCACTTCTACTTTAACTTGGATGAAAAACTTTAACTTTTGCTTTAACTTTCACTTTTGCTTTAACTCTGGAGAAAATGCTTTAACTCAGGGCATCTTTGCTTTCGGCTGCTTTTCTGGAGGCTTAGTCTTCATTGAGATCATAGGGGTCTTGACTGTTGGGCACATAGTCTGACCATCTTGGCTTAGGCTTTTGACTGAAAGGCTGGCTCGGGATTTGACTTGAAGAAGACTCAGACTTTGGACTGGCATCATTACTATCATCGTCTTTCATTTGTGTGACTTGGGCGAGAATCTGCTCCGCTAACTTTGTTAACTCTTTCTTGGACTTTCCTTTTAGGGAGGCATTGGAAATGCTGGGAGAGGCTTCTTTAACTGGATTGACTGGCGTATGGAGAGGTGGAAACTGTGCATTAACTTGGCATATTATGTTATCAATTCTGACTTTATCCCACCACTTAACTGCAAAATGGCAACTTACAACTCTTGTTTCCCAATTAACTTGGTAATTTCATCTCATGATTCAAGGGACTTTGTACTTGGCAACAAAATGGAGGAGCATAGGGAAGGACTTTTCTGACTTTGTTAAGGAGAGGTGGAAACTGTGCATTAACTTGGCATATTATGTTATCAATTCTGACTTTATCCCACCACTTAACTGCAAAATGGCAGCTTACAACTCTTGTTTCCCAATTAACTTGGTAATTTCATCTCATGATCCAAGGGACTTTGTACTTGGCAACAAAATGGAGGAGCATAGGGAAGGACTTTTCTGACTTTGTTAACTTGTGCTTTTGACTAAAGTAATTAACTGATTGTTGGAGCTCAACTGGGAAGATTTCCCAAATGGGGCCATGGATATTCCACCATTGGAGAAACCAGAAAGGGAACTGGGCTTTGAACTTGGCATCAAAATTGAGAAACCATGAATGACTAAAATCTGGGTGCTGATGATAAAAAATAGTATACCAAGCATCAATGTAATCACCGTAATTGTAAGTAAGGCCTAATTGGGGATCTGACTGAAGGGGTAACTGATCATAAAGGTTTTTACTCCACTGATTAGGCATAAGGATATGGTGTATGTAGAGAGAATGATAAATAGTGGCATTTGTTTCCTTGTCCTTGATTGGCCTAATGTCTATGGACTGGGTTTCATAGAGGATATCTCTGTAAAACTTAATGGACTTTGAAGGGTGATGTTGCGTAGATTTAGCTCCACCAAAATGGATTAAGATGCATCCTTAACTTGTGATACTCGCAAGTGCACGAACCGTTGGTAGTATAGCATATGTAAGTGCGAGGTCGATTCCACAGGGATTGGTGATTGAATGATCCAATTTAGTTTCCCTACACAAAATAGAAACAAAAACAAAGAACATAAAACAAGGAAGAAAGAAATAAGTAACTCAAGCAAATAAGTTCCCAAGTTCAATTTAGATTAATGGATTGATTCTAGCTAAAGTATGATTAAGCCATGGTGTGTGGTCATAACCTTGTGTTCCTAATTCCCTAATTTGATCATTTGTTGTCTAACCTAAAATTAAGCATTAGGAACCCATTAAACATAGAAGAACAATTTAAACAACCAAGCATGTATCTAATCCCTGTTGTCGAATG